CCTGGCAGACATGTATGTAGCCATAAAAAAGCTCTGTAAATTCATGTTTTGAAAAAAACTTTGTTTCCATAGATACAATGCATAGAGAAAAAAGAAATACAATTTACACAGAGTTTGAGTAGGCATTCCCTAGGCCTACATACTGTATTTGCAGATACATTCTAACATGTTAAAAGAGAAATTGATCTTTGGAAATTCAGAGTGCACATACATGATACAAATCTTTGGATTAATGTGAAACATGTTTCCTTATGTAAAATGGAATATAGCTATGTCCTCCATAGGAGAAGACAGGATTTGTTACTTTTACAATGTAACCGGTTTATGTTTTTCACAGTTAATTATACACTTAAGTAGGCTTGTAATTCCAATTTGAAAAACAAACATGCTGTAGGTCTACCCACACAAACTGCATTAGTGTTAGTCTGAGGATTTCCTTAGTCACATGTTTCCAGGGCAACTATGGTAGAGACTAGGAATGGGGGTTGGTTGGGAGACGTTAAAAATTGGCAATTATAATAAAGGGGGGTTAGGTGGAGGCACTGATATGCAGTACATATACTATCTCTTCATTTAGTGGTACCACCTTAAATTTTCTTTACTGCTCATGCTTTGTGTCATTAGAGATTAAGAATCAGAGGGAGTAAATAAGTAACCATGGAAATTGGATGATGTTGATGTTTCTATGGTTACCCCCAACGGCACGTATTCTCATACTTGAACCTGTGAGGGATATGGTTAACAGGCATGCCTATCTCACAAGGTGAGAACAACCTGGAATGAGAAAAAAGCCAGTAGCAGTATTTCACAAGCAATTTGCATTTAATTTTAAGACAATTTAAGCAGGGAAATGCAGTAAGGTCTTGTTTCATATGCCACAATTGTTGTGCATATACAGCAATAGAAAATACCGTACACACATATTTTTATTCAAGCATTCAAATGTTTTAAAAAATAAACCATATAGGTTCACAGTATGAAATTTGTATTATAACATACAAAAAATGTTATATGTTAAAGTAAAAACAGCAAAATAAAAAATAAAAGATATTGGAAGATGATACCAGCTACAGTGAATCGAAAGTATTCACCACCCTTGGACTTTTTCACATTTTATATTGTTACAATTTGTAATCTTATTGTATTAGGATCTTTCTAATGTCAAAATTCTACAGATGCATCTAAATTAAACCATCTATCCATTTTCTAACTGCTTCTTGTAATGAAGGGTTGGGGGCAGCCAGAGCCTATCCTGGTTTGGGTCATTGTCATGCTGAAAAATGAATCTTCTCCCATGTCTCAGGTTTTTTGCAGACTACTGCAGGTTTCCTCCAGAATTGCTCCATACGTTGCCTCATCCATTTTGCTTTGTATCTTCACAAGTCTTCCACACCCTAACACTGCATCCCCAGAGCACTTCTCAGTTGTAATGTTCTCAGGATGATTTCCTGGTCCTTTGGTGTGGTCTGGAGCCAAAATGTCTGCCTGTTAGTAGAGAAATGTTGCAGAATGAGAAAAGGCCAGTTTGAGTCTGTCTTAAGCACTCAGAGGGGAGGGGATTCCATGGGAGGGAAAGGAGCTGTCAGGATAGGTTCTGTGTGGAATCAGACGCTCCTCTGGGGCTAATTAAGAGGTTTATAAGAGCAATTGGGAAGAAAGGGTTTCAGTCTGTGTCTATGGAAGGAGAGTGAGTGCTCCAGTGGGGGAGTTCTAGTGATGGATTGGGATGGCTTACACATCTGTGTTACTTGGGAAGCTATGAGGTAGCTTGAGGAAGATACAGCTGTACAGGGTGTAATAAGGGACATCACAGGCTTTGGACAGCCAGTCTGTGTGATTGCTTGTTTGCTAGACCCAATGTAGATTTACTGCTCTGCTGAGAAACAGGGTTGGCCAACTGAACTTTGGCTGACACTATATGACAAACATGAGGGAACAGTCTATAATACAGCAAATTATTCTTATCTGTAATGACCAAATATGTGACAAAAGTCACAAAATGACTCTTTGTGATGTTTTTAAAGCCTTGGCAATGCTTCATTTTCAATGTATTTACAACTCTCTACCTAAACCATCTGCATCTGATTTTAGAATTGCCTAAATTTTGATTGCCTAAAAATTAATTGAAGGCTCAAATATGGAGTTTTAAGGAAGTCTAGTCTCTAAAGTGTGGAACCAGCTCTTGATCCTGGTTTACCCATTCTGCTGGAGAGATCAGGATGGAAATATGACCTTTCCTAAACCTGGAGGTACAGAATGATCTGTCCCAATCTTACATAGAACATATACTGTATAACACGATGAAGACAATCCAAGTTGGGAATTGCTCAGATCAATGTGGAGAATGCTTCTCATCACTGTCTACCATTATTGTGTCTCTCAGCTAAACTATTTTGGTCAGGGCTGTAGATTTAATACTGGAATCATTGGAGGTCAATATTCTGCTTGGTTTTAGACCTGCTTTTGTTACTATGAGTACTGTTAAAAACCAACAAACAATTAACAGCAAAAAGGATATTTCAGAGCTCAAAAAAGGACAAAAAATCATGATTCCTGGTCTCAGGAGACTGTCATATACAGTGTTGGGTAATGTTACTGTTAAAAACATAAACCATTACAGTTACAAGTTACTTGTATAAAGGATTACTTCTGAAAATTAACAAGACGCTATGAGAAGATAGCATGCTTTAAAAACTAGAAACTATACTAATTCTACATAGATACATTTCCTCTAAGTATACAAAAAGATTTAGAATGCACCATTTGCACCTGTGAGCTACTGCAGAAAATGCAACTCTAATCGTGGTATCAACTCACTTGCCACAGGAAGACAAAAGTGTGTCAATAAGAATTGCAAAATGATGCTGTAAGAACAAAGAAACCCTGCAGAAAAAGAAAGACTTTTGATGTATCACTGTAAAAATGCCTAAAGGATAGAAAGATAAAACAGAACAAAGAATTAAGTTCTCCATTCTGGCTAGTATGTTGTTATTGAGAGGGATGACCTTATTGGATCTGGTCTCATTTTGATTTAATTTTTATTAGCTATTCTAGCAGTTAGTACTACTTAACCCATCCTGAAATGAGCTACTGTATGAAGGCAAAATAATACAGCAATAATACAGCAAAATAATAAAAGAAAATATATTTGTATTTTTTTTTTCTTTTTAATAGTCATAGTCTGAAAGGAAGACAGATTTGGAAGTTGTTTTTAGCTCATTGTTTTATCCTTTCTATCCTGACAGAGAAAGACATAGCTTGTACAGTATTGAGCTATTCCTTTTAAACATAAGCAATATTTCTACAGTAACAGCATGAAAGTGGATGAAGTCATTGATTAACATAAACTAAATGTCACGTTATGAAATAATTTAATAGAGATACCATTCATTAATCTCATAGAGATAGCTTTATACTGTCATACAGAAAAGAGACGTGTGCACCTGGATCCTACCACACACCTGTGCTTCAGCACTAAACTCTGAGGGTTTGAAATGTGCTGAGTGAGGGGCTAGCTGATGTGAGTCAGAGATTCCTGTTGCCTTTATCTTTGCCTGAAGACAAAAGTATTGGCATACTTAAGTTAATCCACATATTGATAGGAAGAGTGATTATTCAGGAAATTGATTTGAAAGCTGCCATTGACAGATGAACTATTTAAAACACTTAGATTATTCACTAACAATTTTTCAGACACAGATGCTCATATTGTCTATTGTAGAATCATATTTAAATATTACTGGTGTCTCTTCAAAGCGTTGACTCTCATGCAATGTAAACTTTCTCTTAAAGAATTTATTTATTTAGCTTCATGGGTGTTATTTGCTTTGGAGCGTAACAATGCGAGAGTGGGAGGAGCCACGGAGAACACTAGTAAAAGTCGACGCCCCAGCTGTAGGGGCAGAGGCACATTTCTGAGGTTAGAAAAAAACACAAAAAAGAGAAAAGAAAAATTCGCACAGCTTTACCCAGTAGCGTCCATACAGGACTATCCCTACTTAGCAGGGTGCAGCCTGGGAAAAAAGCAGCACTTGCAACAGCAGGATTCAGTGTGCACTATCCCTATTTAGTGAGATCCAGATTGGAAAAAAAGGAGCAAGACCAAAACAAAAGAAAACTCAACCTGGTGAATCCTTACAGTGGGACAGGAGAAAAGAAAAGAAAAATAAAAAGAAGCAAACATGCAGCCTCAATCCTCTCTTCACAATCCCCTCTGGGACTGGCACTGGAAAATTCTCCCCTTGTACCAGGACAGGAGTCCTCCCCTCCGGGGAGGTGCTCAGTGTGTCTTAAAGGGCCCCCAAAGCTGCAGCGAATCCAAATTTAGCCGTCAGTTGCGGTTGCTAATCCAGGGCTCTGCCACCACATTGAACACTCCCCTTCGGGTGGAGCGGTGGCTCTGTGGCAAAGGTTCTACGCCTGTTGCTGGAAGAATCCTACTCTGTTGGGCCCCTGAGTGTGGCCCTTAACCCCAACTGCTCCAGGGGCGCTGTACAATGGCTGACTCTGCGCTCTGACCCCAGGCTTCTCTCTCCCTGTCTGTGTCTCATGGAGAGCAAGCTGGAGTACGTGAAAAGACGAATTCCTAATGCAAAAAATTGTATAGGGCTAATAAAGGGGGCTATATGGTGGATGTGGAATGAGCAAGTATTGTGGGAAAAATTATGTAAAAATTATGTACAGGCCTGTAATGAGCTCACCTGGTTGACACAGAGCCTGCCTACTATATCTTGCTTAGCGTTCTGATGTGATCATATCAGGATAGAAGAAGGTATGGCCAACTCTAATCCTTGTAGACCTCAGAGTCCTCTAGTTTTTACTGAACCTCTGAACGTAGTTTTTAATACCTTAATCCTTAATTAAAATAATAGCTAATGAAAATGTACCTCTGAAAACCTACAGGGATCAGGTCTTCAAGTTGCCCATCCCTGCTCTAGATCATGACCTGCTCAGAACTCACACTGGCTCTGCCTGTATGAAAGAAAGTGAGGAAAACACAGTAAAGGTCAACAAATCAAAGTTTATTACACTTTTATATACAATCAACCTTGCAAGGCACGCTTTGTTTTAAATTAGAATATACAATAACTTGATTCTTAAATGCAAAAGGTATTAGTTTTCAACATATATTCATATAGCTTTCATAACACTGTATAGAAAATGCATCATAAAATATGGTGCTTGATGTGCTGCCAGAACAAAAACAAAAATCAAAAGGGAGGTAAACATTGTTACATAACTCCCAGGACCAAACAGTGATCTCCCCAGTGAATCCAGAATTGCAAATGTGGGTCCCTGCCAAATAGTGGACTATAATCAAGGGGTGTTCCACTTCAGGGCCTCAACATGTAATGAAATTCAGTCTCTGTGAGCTCTGAATTACTTAAGTGAAGTTTAATTGGAACCATTCAACCATCCAAATACTTCCTGTAATTGCATAGTCCTATATAGGGTCACAGTGAGCTGGAGCCTCACTCTGCAGACAGTGGGGTAAGGCATGCAATCATACATGAATGTCAACACGTCACTGAACTGTGGGAGGAAACCAAAGAACCTAGAAAAACCCACGCGGTCACAGGGCCATAGGAGATATCATGCAAACTCTGCACCAGGCCAGGATCGAACCCATAACTTGAGACAACAGTTCTGCCAGAAGGAATTTCAAGAGCTGACACAACAGTTCTAACCACCTTAAGTGGAACAAATATTTTGCCAACTATGACCTTTTTCTGTTTTAGTTCTGAAAGTAGCATAGGACTTAAGAAGCCTGTAAAAACACACAAGACTTACTGGATTAGCCCTGCTGGGCTGGATAAGCTATGGTTCCTTACAAACCTGACTCCTGAGAACCATTCTCCTGAACCACTGCGGAGTTGACAGAGTGGTGAGTAAAGAAAGAGGAGCAAGAATTCACCCAGGTCTTCATTCTTCCCCTGAGCTATAGCAACAGGCTGATATGATCAACTCAAATTGCTCCAACAATAGATAGCTTTAAATAATTAACTTTTGAAGAGCTGGACCATTTAATGTAGTCTAATGAAGCATATTATTATATGCTTTTTTTAATTAAGTAACTGAGACTCAGCTGGGATGAGAACCTTCAGAACCTTTACTCACTACTTAAATCCACAGTTCAGACAGTGGTTTGAGAATTAAAGCTGACCAAAGACTCTCTCCTGGCCAGTTCATCAAAATATCTCTAATGTCCACACTTATTGGCAACCTGTATGTGACACAAGGTTATTTACAATTTATTTGCGGTAATACTTGAAATGCTGTTTGCTGTCTGCTAAAATGTATATGTAAACGATACCTGTTCCAAAATTATTCATCATAGTAAGTAGCAGATCAGATGTCTTAGTGAATTAATATTTTAGGTGCAGTGAGCCAATAAAATGGAAGATTAAACTGATCAGCAAAATGCCTCTATAACTCACTGCTTTGGACAGTCAGAGATCTTAACAGTTAAAGTTGTGTTCTAGTAACCACTAACACTGTCTTCCCTGTTTTATTCTGGGGTTCCGGTTTTAGATGGTCAACCTCTGCCCATCTCCAGGGGGTAGTATGATACCCCTAAGATCAGTATTATGAAAAAAAATGGTCAAGTCCCATGTCAGCACAACTTTAAAAGCATAGGAAGATACCCTACAATGTAGTAATTTCTTTTGTTGAGAGAGAATATAATAACATAAGAATGGTTATAAATGACAGGAGCTTATTCAGTCCATCTGTCTTATTTGGCTGGTAGTAAGTATTTCATCCCATGATCTCATCCAGCTTGTTCCTGAAAGCTGCCAGGGTAAGGACCTAAACTACAGCTGGGCAGTTTGTTTCATATTCCCACAACCCTTTGTGTACAAAAATTGCTCCTGTTCTTCATGCAGTTCCCAGAAGAAAACAGAAATTCCAGCAGCACAATAAAAACACATAGGAAAACCTAAGGTGACTAGCTTGACTAGCTAGTTATATCTTAAAATCTCAGGGATAAGTTCAATAGAATAGTTTTTTAACATAGCCAAAAACATAAAGAAATTATCCCCATAAACTGATACTAAAGTTGAGTTAACATTCATACCAACATTAAAGCATACTGACAATATGGACCTTAATATAACGTGCCTATAGAAAGTCTGTACTACACATTTAATCATTTTCACCTTTTCTTGCCTAATAGCCTGGAATTAAAATGTAACTGCAACAACTTTTCTACCCATCCGTCTTCCAACTGCATCTTTCAATTCAGGCTTGGGAGGGAATTGAAGCCTATCTCTGCAAGCAAAGGGCACAAGGGAGGGTACACCCTGGATGGGACGTCAGTCCATTACAGGGCAGGCAGATACAAACAGACAAGCACACACTCACATTGGGGCCAATTTACCAACTCCTCTTATACTTTTGGATTGTGGGAGGAAACTGGAGCACCCAGAGAAAACCCACCAGGAGAAAGGGAAGCATACAAAGCTCAGGTAGACGGCACATCAGATCTGGAACTGAAGCCAACTGCAAGGCAGCAATGCTAACCACTGCACCACAGTTCCACCCCCTATAACTTTACAGAAGATTTAAAATAAATATAGCTTGGTAGGATAAGTCTCCACACCCTTTCTAATGGCAATCCTAAAAAAGATTAAACCAACCACTTTCAAAATCACACACCAAGTTACGTCTAACTGTGTCAAAGTGTTGTGATTCACATGATTTCAGGATAAATTCTGCAGTTCCTGTAGGTTCTTTTTGTTGGGTAGTGCATTTCACAGCAAAGATGCAATCATGAGCACCAATAAATTTTCAATAGAACTCCAGTTATGGTACTGTGAAAGGAACAGATCAGGGGATAAGCATAAAAAAATCAGAGTCCCTAAAACACAATTATTAAGAAGGGAAAGATAAATGGCACCACCAACACCACACCTAGATGAGGCCGTCCCCCTAAACTGGATGATTAAGAAAGAAGGACACTGATCAGACAGCTTACAAAGAGAACAATGGCAACTTTGAAAGAGCTACACACTTGTATAGTCAATACTGGTCAAAGTGTGAATGGGATAACAACATCCCAAGCACTCCATAAATCTGGCCTGTATGACAAGGTTACATCTATTACTATAAGAAAACCCACTTTGATGTATGCAAAAAACACTCAGGAGATTCTCTGGCCATATGGCAAAATGTTTTGTGGGCTGAACGTTTTGGTCTAAATGCACACAAATTCATGCTTTTTGGCGCGAACCCCAGAAACTTATTCCAACTGCCATAGGTACTTCTATCAGTATTAAGGGGGTTTCACAAGGGGTGGAGACTTATCTAATTATATTTCAGTTTTATATTTTAGATCTATAATCTTTATCATTAAAAGTGTTTTCCCCTTAAATGTTTGGAGCACGATGTGTAGATGAGAGAAAGAAAATCCTTGTTTAAATGCATGAAACTCTGAGGCACTGACACAACAAAATGTGGAAAAAAGTTCAACAATGTGGGGGGAGACTTTCTATAGGCACTGTTTTTCATTTAGTGCTAGCAACTACCAAACGGTATGATTGTGGGCTGTGAATTGCAGCAGCACAGAAAAAAAGTGATGCAGACTTCGAGTTTTCATGGACCTAGATAGACAGAAAAACTTCCCCAGCAAAGAAAGTCATACCTGTTGAGTAGTTGGTGGTAAAATGAAACCTCAGATTAAAGACATATTCACTGATATCTGTTCAGGGATTGATTAACGAAAGGATTACTATTATATAGCTACATGAGCTAACACACATGCTAAACACTTCATGCTTGCTATCTCACAAATCTACATATACAGATGTGTGTGTAAAATAACACTGATTATTTGTGCCTGTATAATTGATCAGCCCAATTAATGCAAAACCTGGATCAAACAGTTGTGCATTAGGAGTTTTACTTCTGTCTGTGTCTCCCAGTGAACACAGAGGGGCAATAGGTAAACAATCCAATTTACTGTAGGTCTCTTTGAACTTGAGGGCTGAAATCAGGAACTTAGGAAAGGGGCTGACCCATTCATTACTGTTCAGTGCAGTATGAGTTATGACACATCAGTCTGGACAAAGCTGTGAATTTATTGGAGAGCGCAACACCAGAAAAAAAAGGAGAAGTATAAGAGTACTGGCAGCCTACAAGACAAAGGGAGAGGAAAAATACAGGCTATTCTTTTGCAGTGCTCAGATGTGTTCAGATGGTGAAAACCAACAGCAACATTCAAGATGGGCTAAGGCAGCCTCCAATCATTTTTAACCTTTCAATCATTTGTAGATTTTATATGCCAATAAGAGTGTGCCTAAGAGCTCCATATCCATGTAGTTGCTTTATGATGTACATAACATATTATTAAATATTATTATTTAACTTCCTTCTTAGGTTTATTGAACTCTTTATTTCAACACTATTCATTGAGCTGAGTGGGTTTTGTAATAATAGAAAAAGCCTAGGCTGCATAGTACAATACTTTACCCTTCCCATGAGGGAAACAGAGGCTGCTGGGAAAGTAACAGAAGACTATTCAAAAATGACAGTGGGTTTTGAGAAAAACTGAGAACCCCACTCATTTTGGGAATTCTCAATCACTTAGGCAGCCTGCTGAAGCGGTAGTCCCGTCCCTCTGTTTGCAGCTCTGGCTATTATGCCAGCAGGCCAAGACGCTTCACCTTAGCAGACAGGAACGAGTGGATGATGAACACGATGGTTTTGGGACAGGAATGAAGGTCCAGTTGCTGCAAGAGATGACAAATCCCAGTAATAAAAGATATTTCAGCATCTTTCAAGTGTACCACTTAAGCATACAATAACCATAAGAAATTATTATCTACAAAAGTAAAAAGGTTTACAGGGCTAAACCCCTGAGGTAGTTCAATCAGCATATACAGTGCCTTGCGAAAGTATTCGGCCCCCTTGAACTTTTCAACCTTTTGCCATATTTCAGGCTTCAAACATAAAGATATAAATTTTTTATTTTATGTGAAGAATCACCAACAAGTGGGACACAATTGTGAAGTGGAACGAAATCTATTGGATTTTTGAAACTTTTTTAACTAATAAAAAAATGAAAAGTGGGGCGTGCAAAATTATTCGGCCCCCTTGCGTTAATACTTTGTAGAGCCACCTTTTGCTGCGATTACAGCTGCAAGTTGCTTGGGGTATGTCTCTATCAGTTTTGCACATCGAGAGACTGAAATTCTTGCCCATTCTTCCTTGCAAAACAGCTCGAGCTCAGTGAGGTTGGATGGAGAGCGTTTGTGAACAGCAGTTTTCAGCTCTTTCCACAGATTCTCGATTGGATTCAGGTCTGGACTTTGACTTGGCCATTCAAACACCTGGATACGTTTATTTGTGAACCATTCCTTTGTAGATTTTGCTGTATGTTTGGGATCATTGTCTTGTTGGAAGATAAATCTCCGTCCCAGTTTCAGGTCTTTTGCAGACTCCAACAGGTTTTCATCCAGAATGGTCCTGTATTTGGCTGCATCCATCTTCCCCTCAATTTTAACCATCTTCCCTGTCCCTGCTGAAGAAAAGCAGGCCCAAACCATGATGCTGCCACCACCATGTTTGACAGTGGGGATGGTGTGTTGAGGGTGATGAGCTGTGTTGCTTTTACGCCAAACATATTGTTTTGCATTGTGCCCAAAAAGTTCGATTTTGGTTTCATCTGACCAGAGCACCTTCTTCCACATGTTTGGGGTGTCTCCCAGGTGGCTTGTGGCAAACTTTAGACGAGACTTTTTATGGATATCTTTGAGAAATGGCTTTCTTCTTGCCACTCTTCCATAAAGGCCAGATTTGTGCAGTGTAAGACTGATTGTTGTCCTATGGACAGACTCTCCCACCTCAGCTGTAGTTCTCTGCAGTTCATCCAGAGTGATCATGGGCCTCTTGGCTGCATCTCTGATCAGTCTTCTCCTTGTCTGAGCTGAAAGTTTAGAGGGACGGCAAGGTCTTGGTAGATTTGCAGTGGTCTGATACTCCTTCCATTTCAAGATGATCGCTTGCACAGTGCTCCTTGGGATGTTTGAAGCTTGGGAAATCTTTTTGTATCCAAATCCGGCTTTAAACTTCTCCACAACAGTATTACGGACCTGCCTGGTGTGTTCCTTGGTCTTCATGATGCTCTCTGCGCTTTCAACAGAACCTTGAGACTATCACAGAGCAGGTGCATTTATACAGAGACTTGATTACACACAGGTGGATTCTATTTATCACCATCAGTCATTTAGGACAACATTGGATCATTCAGAGATCCTCGCTGAACTTCTGGAGTGAGTTTGCTGCACTGAAAGTAAAGGGGCCGAATAATTTTGCACGCCCCACTTTTCATTTTTTTATTAGTTAAAAAAGTTTCAAAAATCCAATAGATTTCGTTCCACTTCACAATTGTGTCCCACTTGTTGGTGATTCTTCACATAAAATAAAAAATTTATATCTTTATGTTTGAAGCCTGAAATGTGGCAAAAGGTTGAAAAGTTCAAGGGGGCCGAATACTTTCGCAAGGCACTGTAGGATGAGATTTCTGGCCCAGACATCACCAGTTTGAGAATGGGCCATTCTGATTATAACTGGGACTCCCCAGGAGGTGGCACACAATCAGCTGAGTGCTGTGAGTGACTGCTGGGACCTGCCAGGCAAGTAGCCATGCCAATGAGAGGCCACCCCTCCTGGTGCACAGCTTACCATGTGTCAAATGATGAATGGCTTATGCATGCAGAACAGAAGTTATAGCCTTATAGCTGATCTGAAGAGCAACTGGGCGATTACAAATTAGGTGGGTACAAAATGAACAGAATTTGGCAGTTCTACATTTACCTCAAAAATATTTAGCAAGGCATAAACGATTGTATAAGTGAATGTCACTGGTAAACAGTCCTTAGAAGTCCTCTTACAAATATGACACTCTAGCAAGGTTTAGTGGCTATGTGTCAGGGCTGTCTTAAAAATGAAGCAGTGGATATGTGCAAAAAAACTGATATCTTATTGTCGCACTATGATCTCACATTTTTGTTCAATAGCAACTGAAAAAATGAAAACAATCTGTACTAGACAGCACTTTTAGACAGGCACTTCACTCAATTCAACACATCTGGCTAAAATGGTGTTGTGGTATCCATACCTGTGGTTAGCTAATGTTTCTGGTGGACAAAACTGGACCTTAACTTTGATTGTGTAGGATGAAGGAAGTGATTTCCACAAAATTACATTTACCTCACATTGATATACCAAGTAGTAAAGAAACCTAAACAATTACAAACCTTCTTGTCCTGTTTTAAAATGTTTTTTTCTTAAACAAAGAGGACATTCCTGTGTTTGCCAGTACAACCCAGACAGGAAGTTACACACACACCTAAAACTGGGATGTCACTGAACCACAAACTCACAATCTCTGCCTCTGGGCTTCCGAAGTCGAGAAACAGCATCCGAGTGCCATCATCCGAGGACATCCTGAGCTTTTCAAAGGGTTGCTGGAGGAGGACAGTCCTGCTGAGACCCGGCTCCTCTGTGAAAAGGGAGAAGCCCTTGTCGATGTGAACCGCCAGTGTGCATTCCTTCCCATTCCAGTTACAGGCTGAGGAACAGACAGACAAGACAAGCAATTCTTGACCTCCATAATCTCCTTGAAATTAGCTATAGCAAAACAGTTCTTCATTTTTTTTTCATTGATGCAGTATTTTTTTATTTAAACTTTTAACACTTTGTATGAAACACAAAAGACCGAAATATCAGATCGATCCTTAATTTCAACACTAGGTGTCATTATAACTCAATTTCTTCAGTATATACAGCAAATGTTAATTTTTTTAACAGACTGAACTAGTCCTTTGTTTATTATTATTGAAAAGACATTCTTCTAGTCTGAATAATTTGAACCAGTAAATAATAATGATTATTAGCCACAGATGTCCTTGGTGTTGTACCACACCAATTGTAGTGTGTGTAGGGTACCTGAGGTCACCTCCTGAATGAGCTCAGCAGCACAATGACAGCCATCCACCAGCACCCGTGTCCAGGCAGACAGTTCTTTGGCTGAATCTACACGAAACACATGTGTCTCCACACCCTGACGAGTTCCACTACGCAGGGCAAAGGTCAGCTCCGAGTCCATTATAGGGGAGCCCTTGCCCGGTCCAGAGTGAACCAACCTGAGTCCAAACACAGATTAGGACCACATGAGTTCTCAACAGGGAAAACCATTCGCTGGAAGGAAAAGAATCTATACAAATACCTGATGATGAGGATGTGAATGGTCAGTTTGAGAGCATACCTGGTGGTGATGAGGGTGTGACTGGTCAGTGTGAGACTGGTGATGATGAGGGTGTGACTGGCCAGTGGGAGAGAGTATCTGGTGGTGATGAGGATGTGACTGGTCAGCGTGATAGCATACTGTACCTGATGGTGATGAGGGTGTGACTGGTCAGTGTGAGAACATACCTGGTGGTGATGAGGGTGTGACTGGTCAGTGGGAGACTGGTGATAATGAGGGTGTGACTGGCCAGTGGGAGAGAGTATCTGGTGGTGATGAGGGTGGGACTGGTCAGCATGATAGTATACTGTACCTGGTGGTGATGAGGGTGTGACTGGCCAGTGTGAGAGCATACCTGGTGATGATGAGGATGTGACTGACCAGTGTGAGAGCATGACTGGTGGTGATGAGGGCGTGACTGGTCAGTGTGAGAGTGTACCTGGTGGTGATGAGGGTGGGACTGGCCAGTGTGAGAGCATACCTGGTGATGATGAGGATGTGACTGGTCAGTGTGAGAGCATGACTGGAGAGATGATGGTGTGACTGGCCAGTGTGAGAGTGTGACCGGTGGTGATGAGGGTGTGACTGGTCAGTGTGAGAGCATACTTAGTGGTGATGAGGGTGGGACTGGCCAGTGTGAGAGCGTACCTGGTGGTGATGAG